AGGGCGGGCACCGGGCTCACCCCGCCCGGGTGCCCCGCTGGGCCGGGAGTCACACACTGCCGGCTACTTTTCCTGTGTGGCTCCTGGTATTGACGTGCCCGAAACGGTAAAGGACCCGGTCAATGTGGTCTGGGGGCTCTGCAGGAGGGGCTGTCAACAGCAGAGGAGGCTGCAGCCTTGGCCTTTGAGTTCATTGGTATGTGTGTTCTGCGAGAGCATGAGACCTCGGAAAAATCGGTGTGGGAAAGGTAAATATTTCCGTAGCGTGTCTAAATGGGTTTTCTTCAAAGAGCAGCGGTGTTCTGAGCCATTGGGAGCGGTGGTGGCCTGCTCGTGCCTGCTGGCAGGCGCCGGGAAGGGAGAGCAGAGCGAGTCTCGTTCTGCTGCTGCAACCAATTACCGTCTTCTTCACGTTTAATTTCTACCTCAGACGTTCTGCTGAGGCTTGGCATTGTAAAGGAAAGCAGTGTGAAAAAAGGAAAAAATAATAAAAACCTAAAGGCGTTTTCCTTAATCACAAATTGGTAATTTTTCTGTCGCTGAATGGGAGATCTTGTGTTCTGCAGTTTGCTGAGTGTAGTTAGCGATACGCTAGACTGTCACTGAGCTGTAGTTAAACAGAATAATGATGAACTCGAAAGCTCTTGTGTAACATTTCTTTTGGGTTTTTTGCCTTAAAAAGAGCTTTTTTTGAGCAATATCTGCCTGGTAGGTAACATCTTACTAGTTTGTTGTACGTTTGGCTGCAGAACTTGTCTATGTTTTACGTCTCTAAATTAAGCGTCTCAAGGATGTGAAAAAAATAGCATTCTGAATGTATTCTGTGGGGCCTAGGAGCTGTAAAAACAGAACACTGAGATGTCTGGTGTATCCAAGTGTAGTGGCTGGTTTACAAACATTTTTTATTTGTTTTCTTATGTTATTTGACTGTACTAAAATATTTATGCTATGATCAGTACAAGCTTGTAGGAAGAAAAGTGCACATGCTGTGTTTGTACTGGTGTTAAAAGTAGAAATGGACTTTGAGTGATGTGGAAAGTTTAACTGTGAGCTTCTGACAGAGCCAGAGTCAGCGTAACTTGATGTTGAGCTGTATGAATGCCATTGGGATTTTACTTCTCACCATTTCTTTTCCATTTTGCTGTCTCTGAACTGGTTATTAGAGATTAGGACACTGGAAATGGCAGTGGTCAGGTACTTGAATTGCAGGATGCTCTTACTCTGCGTATTTTTCAACTGGAAGTTTTTATCAGTTATCGTGGCATAATTTTTGCATGGTCTCAATAACTGTAAGCAAAAATTTGAAGAAGAAAATGAATTAAATTGGAAGATAATTCAAGCAGGTGTTGAGATAGAGCTCAGGCTTTTGTGAAATTATGTATCTGTGTTTTAAAGTGGTCAGTTGGTACCAGTGGCTTCAGTGCCTTTGTTGCTGAAAGTGTATTTTACTTCTGGGAAATCTACTCCTGGCATGAAGAGATTAACATAATGCATGTGAGAATAAAGAATCTTGCTGGTAAAACATCCTTTTCCTCCTAAATACATATGCAATAGGCATGATCAAGTTACATATTTAGAGGATTAAAATACACAGCTCATAGGACTTTGGGACAGGAATCTGATTACTGTGTTCTGCTGATTTTATTTCTGAAGGAGAAGGGAATACTGTTGTAAAATTTGTTAAAAGCATAATGGAAGGATTTGATTTGTGAACAACTTACTTTGAACTCCGATTCTGTTTTTTTAATATGAGACTATGCTTTGTTAAAAAGATTCAAGCTGTCTGAATGTCTCCCTTTCTATGTGTTGGGTGTGTGTTTTATGAGGAGCAAATGTTAAGATTTCACTACAGAACTTTTTTACCATCATGGTTGGTGATATTTCTGATATAATTTGGTGGTATCACTGAGCTCTAATATGGAATGAACTAATTTGTTTTGTAAGGCACTTAAATTCCAATCTTTCTCCCTTCTCCCCTAAAGAATGGTGTGAGTGTGTTTGTGAGTGAAAAGGTAATGATAGTATGATTTGATGATAACAACAAAGTAGTTCTTTTGATCTTTTAGTTATGTTTCAGTCATCACTTTATGTTAGAAGTGACATTGCACATTGTTCGGGTACTGTTTTTTTTTTTAAAACTATGTTATGGTTTGTGTTGATATGTCAGATGATAAATTGTCATCTTGGAAAATAACTGTAAGAATTAGCCTATGACTATGAAAACTGAATGACTTCATGTTTGATAGCAAATAAAGTAATTCCACAATCTTACCAGCAATTCTGTCATACTTTCTGATGGTGTTTTATCAAATTTCTTCATATTTGAGCAACTCTTGTTTTTGTCCTGAACAATTGGGAGGGGGTCAATTTCAGTTTTAACATTTTAAAATATCTTGCCGATAGCATGAAAT